GTAAGTGCACCCATGTCATGCAATGCTGGTCAAGACCAGAAGAGGGCATTAGATCCCCTGGAACTGGAGTTATGGATGGTTGTTAGCCACCATGTAGATGCTGGGAACTGAACCTGGGTCCTCTGATGGATCAGCCTGTGCTCTTAACCTCTGAGCTATCTCTCTAGCCACACCATCTTTGGATTCTTGATCCTGTTACACTACTATAAAGTTTGACTTCCCTTATTGTAACACAAGTGTTTTGTATCTTAGAAACACTAAAATCTTACAGAGTTAAGATGCTTTTTCATAAGAGTTAACTTGACATTTCACCAAATACAGTCCAGAAACTTGAAACTCTGAAAGATTATTGACCTTGTAGCTTTCTCCAAAACACTGTCTGTGGTCTACTTTAGTAGACTGTTGCTAATCAGAACTTTGAGCATGTACTGCTAAAGCACCACTCTGAAGGCGGCAATTTATTTATTTTTTATTATATTTTAAAATTTTTATTGAATTTTATATATTTCATACATAAAATCATCTTTGTACCTCCTTTCCCTTTGGCCCCCTCCCATAGCCCCCCACTGGAGTTCATACATTCTGTCATTTATTTGTTTTAAGGCCTATTATGTAAAGTTAGTGTCCTGAGATGTCCCTCAGTACAAGTTCTTCCACTGGGGTTTAATCAGCCTATCTAGAGTCTGTCCCTTCAAGATCAGCTCTTCCTCACCCAGCAGTAATCAGCTGCCAATAATTCTTTGACGGAGAGTGGGGCCTGCTGTTCATTTCCACAGTTCTGTGCTGGGTTTTTGTCTGCCTAAGTTTGCATGGGTCTTGTGCATGCTGACACCATTGCTGTGAGTTTGTATGAGAAGGGTCCCAGGTACCTGTAGGACTGTTTCTGTATGGTCATTCACCTCCTCCCTGGTTCTTAGAATCTTTCTGCCCCCTTTTCTGCAATGGCCCTGAGCCCTGGGTGGGTGGACCTTGATATAGGAGACCTGTCCAAGGACCACACTCTACCAACTCTTATTCTCTGTGTTTTGGCCACTTGTGGCCTTCTGTGTTCCTGGTCCTGTGTTGCATGAGGAAGCTTTATTGATGAGAATTGAAAGATGCATTACTGTTCTCTTCATTCCTTGTTCTATGTTCCATGAGTCTTAGGTATAGAGGTTGCATCCTAGATGTGCCATTTAGGCTTGGGCAATTCACAGAGAATCTCTGTGTGTGACAAGTGGTGTAACTGTAATAATCTCTGTCTGTTGAAAAAGAAGCTACTTTGATGGGTGATAACTGGGATGCTTGTCTGTAAATTTAAGGATCCATATTTTTGCACATAGTAAGAAATTACATTAGTCTAGGGATATGAGAACCTTTGCGTTTTCTCTAAGATCTAGGACCTCTTCAGCTATGTATATTTGGCTGGGTTTACAGTACCAGACCTGAGTTTCCTCCCATTGAGTGGGCTTTAAGTCCAATTAGGTAGCTGCTGATTACCCCCAAGATAAAAGTGCCACTACTGTACCAATGTCATTTGCTGTGCTGGTCATTGATGTGGTTTTCAGGCCTTGAAGCTGGGGTTGGACCATCGATTGATGTTCTCCCTTATCAGCTTGCATAGTGCTCTCCAAAGCTATGAGAACTGGCCTTCAGGGGAGATGCTTCCAGGTCAGTTCCAGCTCCATTGCTCCAAATCTTGAGTTCCAAGTATGTTCTGTCTTCAGCAATAGGGTCTTACCATCAAGTTCTCAGAGCCAGTCAAGGACTGTGGCAATAGCCTGTATAATTTTTGGAGTCTCTTGGACTACCCTGGCCAACAACTCAGAGAAAGGTTTCTCCTGTCTGGCACTGTTTCTTGTTATGTAGCCTTCAGCTATAGTCACAGACTCATGTAGGGATATTGTATGTGTAATTTTTCAGTGGGTTTTTTAAAATTTATACTAGCTAGGCATTATTTATCTCTCCTCTTTCTCTCCATGTCTTATCCTCCATCCTTACCCTTCCCATTTAAAGTGTCCCCTTTCCCCATTTCTCCCTTGATAATTTTTGTATACTATGGTCCCACCTCTTTTCAAAAATATTTTATTTATTACTTTTTATTTTATGTGTATGCATGTATTGGCTGCATGTAGGTAAGTGCACCCATGTCGTGCCATGCCCGCGGAGTATAGAAGAGGCCATCAGATCCCCTGGAACTGGAGTTTTGGACAGTTGTTAGCTGCTATGTGGGTGCTGGGATCCAAACCTGGGTTTCTGCTAGAACAGCCAGTGCTCTTAACTGCTGAGCCATCTCTCCAGCCCCTGTCCCACCTCTTTTGAGCTCCTTCTTCCCCTTTGTTCCCATAGTTCTTTGTATAAATCTCCTTCTCCCCCTCCCCCTTAACCATTTTTTATACATTTCTCCCTTAGTAATGCCTGCCTCCTACTATTCTTCTCTCTCAGGTTCCTTCTTTCCCTTTACCTCCCTGGTTTCCTTCTATTTTCTTGGTTTATGTAGTTGCATCTGGATATGTACTCACTTTTAAGAATTTGGTGCTAGGATCCACATATGAGGGAGAACATACGTCTTTTGTTTTTATGAATCTGTGTTACTTCACTTAGTATAACAGTTTCTAGATCCATCATTTACCTGCAAATTTCATTATTTAATCTTTCTTTACTGCTGAGTAAAACTCCATTGTGTAAGTGTACCGTACACATTATCATTAACTACTCATCAGTTGAGGGACACTTAGGTGCTTCTGTCTCTTAGCTATTGTGAAAAGAGCTGCAACAAACATGGTTTTACAAGTATCTCTGCAATAGGATGATTCCTTTGGGTATATGCCAAGGAGTTGTATAACTGGGTCATATGTTAGGTTCATTTTTTTTTTTTAGTTTTTTAAGAGTTTTCCACACTGCTTTCCGTAGGGTTTGCATGAGTTTGCAATCCCATCAGCTGTGAGTGATCGTTCCCCTTTCTCCACATCAGTGGCAATTTATTAAATCGTAGTTCATGCTGTTTTAATCACTTGAGATCTTAGCAAACTAAACACTATTGTCAGTTGAGACTTCTAGTAAGTTCCTTGATCTGAATCTTTCCAGCTAGTGACTATAATTCTCTTCTGACACTTCAGTTGCCTAAAATGACTCAAAAAAGTCTATTTTCCAAGGTAGCTGTAAATATACTATAGTATCTTCTGTACAGTGTTATACTTCAATGACTTTTTAAAAAATATTTTATTATTTTTATTTTATGTGTGTGTGTGTATTGTCTGCATGTAGGTAAGTGCACCCATGTCGTGCAATGCCCATGGAAGACAGAAGAGGCTGTTGGATCCCCTGGAACTGGAGTTACGAATAGTTGTTAGCTGCCATGTGGGTGCTGGGATTCGAACCCTGGACTTCTGCAAGAAGAGTGTTCTTAACCACTGAGCCATCTCTTCAGCCCCACTTCAGTGACTTTTTTGGTGTGTGTATAGGTGTACGCATACTCTGTGTGTGTGTGTGTGTGTGTGTGTGTGTGTGTGTGTGTGTGTGTGTGCATGTAGAGACCAGAAGTCAACCTTGTTGTTCCTGAGGAGCCATCCATCCACTTTGCTTTGGGGACAGGGCCTCTTCACTGGCTAGGCTGGCTGGCCAGTGAGCCCCAGGGATCCTTCTATCTCTGTCTCCCCTGAGCTGGGATTACTAATGTTCACTACCACACCCAGCTTTTTATGTGAATGTTGGGGGTAAAACTCGGGTCCTCATGCTTATGCAGCAAGTACTTTACCAACTGAGCTATCTGTCCAGCCACTATTTCAGTAATTTTTAAAAAGTTGGCAAGTACTTCATAAAAAGAAAATTATCAGCCATATGGAAATAATAGCATTGTGTCATGTTTCAACTTTCGTGTTAGATTTGCAAAATTGAAATATAATTATGAATAACAAAATAATCACATGTACTGTTCAGTAGAGTGTGTCGTGATGTGCTCTTGACACAGTGGAAACAATGACTAATAAAATAAGGTGTTTTATGATTTGGAAGAGCAATTTTGTTCTTGGCAGTGGTTTTTGACTTTGCCAGTTTTGAAAGTGGCAGTGTTGGTAGATGAGACAGTTACAGAAAAGTGCACACAATCTATGCACAGAACATATGTACCAGCAAAAGTTTCTGTCAAGCAGGATCCAGATTATGAAACCTATCTCATGCTGATGGAAAGTAAATTGACTGTTTTATTTATCACTTCCATTGAGCAATGAAGAGTTTCACATTCTCAATTTCTTTTTAACTTCAAACACTTGCTACTGTCTTTATTGACTATATTTGTTTTTGTTTATTTTAAATGTTTATTATTATTGTGTGTGATATGTGTGGGCACATATGTGCCATGGTACACATGTGGAGGTCACAGAACAATTTTGTGGACTTGGCTCTCTCTTTCCATCTTTCCATGGGTTCTGGGGATTGAACTCAGGTTATCAGGCCTTCACAGCAAATGTTTTTACCCACTGAGCCATCTTGCCAGTCCTCTGCCTCTATTTTTATGAAGTATATATTTACTAAGTCTGTGGGAAATTTATAATGTGGTGTATCATTTTGTATTTGTTGATACTCTAGTATGTATTGTGATACATTTTTCATGTTTTCATTCTGTTTATAGCTAACTACAATAACAAGATCTTTTAAGAGAATGCTCCAGTCTATTTTCTCTTTCTTTTTTTGTTGGGGGTGGTGATGGTGATGGCTAAAACAGGGTCTTGGATAGAACAGGTTTGCCTTGAACTCACTAGAGTGAGGCTAGCCTGTAACTCCCAGTCCTCTGCCTCTGCTTCCAGAGTGCTGGAATTATAGGCATTCTCCAGCACATACATACTGCATTCTGTTTTCCTGTTCCTTCCAGAGACTGTGGACTGTGTCAACTTTATAACAAGGATTCAATGTGTAAGTGACTAAAAAATAGTTTTGAAGATCTGAATTATAATTGGAAAATAATATAGGAATGTTTCAAAACATCTTAGCATGATCATAACATGATGTTTTGTGTTTTGTAGGAAAATTGTTTGGCAACAGATGACTTCCTCGTGGATTACTTTAATGAATTCCTAAGCCTTCCCGTGAGTGCATTATTATGTTTTATTGACTATATTAAAGCAAATATTTTACATTTATTTTACTATTATTGTGTGTGCGCATGTGTGTGTGCATGGTGCATGTGTGTGTGGGTGTGCATGTGGAAGTCAGAGGACATGTTTGTGGAATTAGTTCTCTTGTTCTATCTTATGTGGCATCTGATGATTGAACTCGGGCCATCAGGTGTGAGTAGCAGGCACCTTTACCCAGTGAGTCACCTCACTGGCCCGATTAATTACTGTACTATCTTGTCAAACATATTTATCAAGTATAATATTTTCTTAAAAGACCAGTTAAAAGAAAAGCTGGGTGTGGTTGATCATGCCTCTTACCCCAGCACTTAGGAGAATCGACATGAGTTTGAATCCAGACTGGGCTGTAGAATGAGACCTTGCTGCAAAGAAACAAAAAATTAAAAATAAAAATCAATTAATGAATTTTGGTAAATTTGCATATTTTATAGAGCTAACCATTGGATTTGAATCATAGTTTAAAATATTTTTATTAAAGAAGGCTGGAGTTTTCCTAAGCAGCAAAAAGCATTTTGCATGGTGGCGTATGCCTTTAATTCCAGCACTCAGGAGACAGAGGCAGGTGGATTTCTGTGAGATCAAGGCCAGCCTGGCCTACATGGTCTGCTCCAGGCCATCTGGGTATACAGGAAGGATCTGTTTCAAAAACACAGCAAAACAAAACAAAACAAAAGCATTCTGGCCAGTCTTGACACAGTTGTATTTAGCAACACATTAGACTTTGAACAATCTGATAAGGACAAAGTATCAAAATCTCAAGAAACTAATTTTTTTTACTGTAATTCTCTTGGGCAGAAAGTTAGGTAAGAAAAGGTTTTCATTATGTGTCATAAAGCATGAAAATCTTTTTCATTAAAAGGAAAGGGCTGAGGATGTGACTCAGTTTGCAGAGTGCTCGCCTAGCATGCACAAAGCTGAGTTTGATCCTAGCACCACATAAACTAGGTACAGTGGTATTGGTGCACGTTTGCAATGCCAGCACTTGGAGGGCAGAGTCAGGTAGATCAGAAGTTCAAGGTCATCTTCAGCTTGAGGCCAGTCTGGACCACATGAGACCCTGTTTCAAACTAAAAAAAATTTTTTTTCTTAACCAGGAAAAATTTGGAACATAAAAAAGTCATAAATAAAGCTGAGCGTGGTGGCGCATGCCTTTAATCCCAGCACTTGGGAGGCAGAGGCAGGCGGATCTCTGTGAGTTCAAGGCCAGCCTGGTCTACATAGTGAGTTCCAGGACAGCTGGGGCTAAAAAGGGAGACCCTGCCTCAAAAAGACCAAAAAAAAAAAAAAAGTCATAAATAATTTTGAAGAGTGCAGAACATAAAATGTTTAAAACATTTAAAGCCACTGGCACTGCCATTTGAAGGAGAAGTACTAACTGGCACTTTCTTGTCTCAGTTTTGTGCACTCACACAGACTTTGCATGCATGAATGCTTGCTTTGTGATTTTTCTCTCTCAAAGTAGTTTTCTGCTTTCTATTCTATCTGGCACAACCAGGGTCTGTGGAAGCAGGATAAGAGTTAGAGCTGCCAAGGCTCTCTCTCTCCTCTTCCAGAAATGGACAAGTGGCACTATGGGAGACCCAATACAGGGTCTTCATGTAGAATGTTTTGGGCATTCTCCTTGGGTCTCATTCCAACTTCTGTCATCTACTTCTACATTATAAAACCTCTAGTAGCATCACAAAATTGCCAGTTTGTTTTTCCAGATTAATTTTTTTCTTGGGCTCTGTAATCTCCATTCTTCCTCCCAAAGAGGTATAAAATCTTGAAAAAGAAAGATCTGTGGCTGGGAATGTGGCTCAATTGTGATAGTGCTTGCCTAGCATCCACAAAAGCACATAGTAAGTTCAAGACCTGCCTAGCATACGTGATACGCTGCCTCAGAAAGAAAGAGGAAGTGAGGATATAGCTCAGTGGTAGAGTGCTTGCCTAGTATGCACACAGCTCTGGGTCAATCTCCAGCACCACCACAAAACAAAACTGTTAAGTCTAACATTTCAGTTTCTTAGCACATTGCGGTGCCTCAAGATTTGAGTCTATCATGTTTACTTTCTTGAAATAAATGAGCCTGATGCCTTTTTTGGAAAATCTATTTTAAATTATAGAAGTTATATAACATTAACATAGAAAATTAAAGCTGAGTAAAATTACAGCTCATGCCTGTAATCACAGCTCTTGAAAGGGTGAGGCAGGAGAATTGCCATAAATTTGAGGCCAGCCTGGGCTACATAGTTCCTGGGTTACTTAGTTCCTCTTTTTTTTTTTAAAGAGGAAATTTATGAAGTTACAGAAAAATTCAGCTGTAATCCTGCCATCCAGTCAAAATGACAGTCTCAGCTTGTGTGTGTTCTTTCAGGCTAATGTTAGGTCAAGCAGGAATGTGACTTCCAGGGAGCTCTGCAGTCAGGCTTTTACCCCTCCCCAGCAGATACTTACAGTTTGATCCTTCCTATATCCAGTACACCCTACCTAGGTGCTTCGCCATCTTTCTAATTCCTATGGCTTTCTGCTCTTCCCTCTTTTCATTTTTTTCAGACCCATTTGCATATGTTTTTACCACTTAGTCAACCTATCAATTATCAATTCTTTACAGTACAAAAGAAGAGGAAAATTGTCACAGATTTTCAAAGAGAATTTGAGAGCAGGAAGGAGAAGGAATGATGGATTCTCAAACCAAGAGCCTGGCAAAACTCTAGACCAGATTAGTAATGTTTGGTTTATGAGCACTTAGATAAGAATTAGAAGCCAACATGGCTTTAGCCAAACTAAACTCTCCTTTTGGATTAGGTACTGATATTTTAGGGAACTGTAAATATAGTGTATTATGATTTCAATAAAGTGTTATAATAAATTGAATCATGTTACTTCCCAATCTGCTTAAAACCATGCTCATGGCTTCTCATTATGTTAGGAATAAAATCCAGAATCCAATATGATCTGGCTCTTGCCATCTCTTGATCTTTGTTTCCTACCTTTTTTCCTTTCCTAATTCTTGTCTAGCTTAACTCACCTTCTTCATGTTTCTTAAAGATGAATATGCTGAGTACATTCAGAATCTCTTAGCCTGGAATACTTTTCTCTGAGATATTTATATCATGTTCTCTTAACTTAAATCACTTCTGCTTAAAAAGACTTTCTACCAACACCATTCAAAATAATATCCCCAATACATACTCTACTTATATTGCTTTATTTGTCCCCAAAGCCCTTACCATTTTCTGTGAAATTAATTTTCAAATATTTAACTGGTTCACTAATTATAACCATTAGGGGTTGATTCTTAAAAGCCCACAGATTGAACTCCACATTCCTTAGTATGGAATTCAAGAACCTTTGCAGTGTGTCCTCAACTTAACCTTTCTAGCTTTATCTCTGCCTTCGTACCACTTGTGTCACCTAGCACACCGTTTTCTGCCTCCTTTAACCCACCAGCCCACAGTAATCACACATACTCCCTGCTCAGCTCTGACTCTCTAGTAATTAGTAACGGGGGTGAAATGGAACTGTCATATTTCAGCCCTCTGTTCCTAGAAACATCACTCACTTAACTTTTTTATTTCTTTCTCTGAAAAAACAATGTATCTTACAAGATTGCTATGGAGTGAGGCAGATGTACTGTAGATTGGTGCTTCTTTTTCCTTTCACCTCACTAACTAGACCATGTCATCTCCCATTCCTGAAATACAGCATGCAGTCTCTCTCTAGCTGGATTAGTGGACCATTGTCAGTCTAGAAGATAATCTCCTGTGCCATACAAATCTGTCATTGACTTTGCCTTTTAAAAATTATTTTTATCAGAGACTTGGTTGAAAAGTTGTCAGAGAACCAGCATTTTTCCAGTTTAAAGTAAATGACAGGGTCCACCCAGGATGACATGGCTCAGTTTTGAGTGTCCTACTATAGAACTGGCAATGGAGGAATAAGCAGATCATTTGGATAACAGAATGGTCTTGTGTTTATTCTGATACATGAAGTAAAACAAACAAAGCTAATGTATTTTTAGAGTGCATTAATAGAAGTATAGTCCAGATCAAGAAAAATATTAGTTTGGAGTGTAGGAGGCACTTGGTGAATGTTTTTGTGAAGAAGGCTGAATTGTTAGACCACATTTGGAATATTGTGTTCCATTCTTGGTGCCATATGTTAAGAGTTGCTTTGCCAAGCCAGACTCAGGGAGACTCAGCCTGAGAACATTCAGGAAACCATGTCAGACGAGGAGGGGTTGAAAGAAGTATGTATGTGTTTAACCTGGCTTGGGGCTAGGTGGCAGGGGTGGAATGGAGCAGCCTTTTCAAACATCTGATCAAGGAAAATGGTTAGCATTCTCTGAGACTAGAGGACAGGGCCAGAGCCTCAGTTATGAGGGAATCTAGTTTCAAGTTTGTTTTCAAACAATAAGATGGACTGGTTTGGGAAGTAGTAAACTTCATGTATTTGGAAGTATCCAGGTGGAAACTAAAAGAGAAAGAAAGAGGGGGGAGAGAGAGAGAGAGAGAGAGAGAGAGAGAGAGAGAGAGAGAGGAAGGAAGGGATTTTTTCTATAAAAATTTTCCTTAAGATGATTTCATATGAAAGATAAAGGTTAGAAAATCATAATATTGATGAGTGTGGGATAAATCTTATAGAGATGTTATATAGAGAAGAGCATCTATCTATCATCTATCTATCTATCATCTATTGTTATCTATCTACCTGCTATGGTGAAAGCCTGGACTTACCCAAACAAAGAAATTTTGATGAATTCTTTCTCTGTTTACTTCATCTGAGAATCTACACTGTAAATTGATTTTTTTTTATTGACAAGCTCGGTCTTTTTTTTTTTTCTGTTATTTCCACAATCTTCATAAGAATCATCCCATTTTTACTTCTACATCGTTGAAATAAACAGTCCTTGTCATCTATTCTCTTACTTCCCTAACTCTTCTACCTCCACATCACATCCTAAACTAAGA